ATAAAAGGAGGCCTAATGTTTAGGATTTAAACACACCTCTCATTTGCCTTCTTATCTTCTTAAGGCATTTGTATCTTCTCTCTTTAGTATTATTTCACTTGTATTTTGGAGTGGAATAAAATATTAGTTGTGTCCGAGGAAGTAGGCAAAATTGGCCGAACCACGTAAATTCTGGTGTTCCTTTTATTGTTGCTTTATTGTCTTATTTATTATTTGGTGGCTGTCATAATTTTGGTATAGTAGTTGTGACTCATTCACACTATATACATTTAGCTTCCGCAACACTGCCCTCTATGGTCAGCAAAGAGAAAACATTGTCCTCTCCACTATCTTAATTTATATTTCAGTCTATTCTCATCTAGGCAAAACCTTTTCCACAAAACTACGACTAATATAATCGATTAGCTCAACTACTACACATCTAAAGAGGAAATCAGTCAGCACATCCTCTTTCTTCTACAACCCATTATTGAGGCCCAAAAAGGTGTACAAAATGTATCTCTAACATCTTATTATGGTTTCAAACTAAACCCCCATTTGTTCGCATTTAAAAGAGGTCTAAATCTGAAATTCAGATCTTAGACTATTAAAGTGAATTTGATTTTTTAATAAAGTGAACCATTTAATGAGTCTCTTGAATAGTCTTAAATTTATTAAGCGGTTGTTTGGTTAAAGATTTTTGCAAAGATGCCTTTACACCACCACTTTGTCCACAACTACCGCCAACTACAACCACCAGTCCACTGCACAACCACCATCAACCTATGTTGCGTGGACTCTCCAAAATGTAGCCGCACCCGTGTCGGATCCTTCAAAAATGCACTACTTTTGGAGGATCCGACACGTATCCGGCAACATTTTCTGAGAGTCCGAGCAACATAGCCATCAGCCACCACCACAGCCAATCACTACCACCAACCATCACCACCATTGTCAACAACCACATCACTGCCGCCAGCCACCACTATTACCCATCATCACCCATACCATCATAGCCACATAACATGTTCTAAATGTGTGTAAAATGAAATGGTGTTAAAGGAGAAGCTAACTGAGAAAGAAACTTCATTCATGAGATGTCGTACTTTTGTCAATGAAGAGTGAAGAAGACATTTAGATAGACTTTCAGCAGCCATCGCATTACAGGAGAGGAGAGTAAAACAGTACTTCTACAAAATCGTACCCAAAACATACGTCCATATTCAAGTGAATCGTACTATGGGAAAAAGAAGGGGGAGAGGGAGGAGGGGGAGTATGGCAGGCCTTATCATAGATTTTAACCGTTCCAACAAATTCCAATTGTTGCTAATCTAATCAAGAGTATAGAGATTGATTGGGCCCAAGGACCCTTTTAGCAAAGCAGGAATATAGTTAACAAAGAGGTATCTAAGTTGCTCTTTTCTTCAGGCTTGGCGAGGGAGAGGGGGCAGCCAGAAAGGATAGTTCCTGAGGTTCTAGAAAATAATAAACAGGAGTGTGGGTACAAAACCTGACGGTTTGTATGTAGTTCCGTGGGTTCACAAACTAGACCAAGAAAAGGCTTAAACAACTCAAAAAATTACAAGATCATGAAATGAGGTCCCGGATTTGAAGCACCAAATTCCATGAGACCATTCATTCTTTTGAAAAATGGCAATAAAGCAAAAACAGTGTACAATTCCTGGTTTCGCAGTATATATAGAATTCAAGCTTACAACAAAGCACATATTAGCAAGAATTTCCCCTTTTTCGAATTAGTAATAACACCTTGTAAAGCTGCCATGACTCAACAACCATTTCCTCAAGGTTTCTTGTCCAGAACTCTAGACTTAAAGAGTTAACGAAGATCATTAACAGAAGTATTTGGCATGCCACTGGAATCAAGAAATAGAGCTCACCTCCAATTTGTCCTCTTTAGCCCTGTGCTTTGGGGGAAGAATACGAAATTCCTCAGTCAAGCGAATGCACTCGCCCACATTTTCAGGTGAGACAAAATCTAGAGCAACCTTTATACAAGACTGTAGTGCACAAAAAAAAGAGAGAACTTGAGGCAGATGAGGTAGTAGGGGAAAATAGAATCATGATACAGAAAGAAGCAAAAGGAGATTTATAAATTATTCACGTGTCTTGCTAGTGTGTAAAACTTTTAAACCCCAAATGACGAAAATTTCACCATACCACACTTCCTGCTCAACCTGCTAGTTGTAATAGCCAGGTACAGTTCACGGTTATAACTTTACAAGTTTACATAAGAATTCTATTGTGGTGATATGCACTTTGATAGTTCCAGTTATCCAGTAATGTAATGCAATTGATTGCAAAAGAAAGAAATGGCCTAGAAAAAATGAGTTACAAGAAACAACAGTCATAGCTCTTACTAGGTATGCAACATTTGCTATCAATCAGAGATAAAGGTTTCTACTCTAACATTCCATAAGAGATCAGAAGATTATAAGGAGACAGTGTTAAGGTTCAACACAGCATGGATGTGCATGAAGATGAGAAGATATCCACCATACAGTTTTCTAACAAAATCTATCATGCCAAACCTATAGGGAAAGATAAATTAATTTTCAAATCTTTTCTTATGCCTCTGGTTCATTTCCCCCTATTTCTTTGTGCATGACTGAACTTTTAGGTTGGTCTGCGGGCAAAGCAAGAAATATGGTACCTGTGACTCATAGCTTCTACAATTAGATTCATGATTAAGAAGGATATGGCGTAAAAGTGACAAAAGAATATTGTACCTTCAGATTTCTAACTTGATGAGGACACCCAGCAGGTATGAAAACTGCTTCTCCAAGTTTTTGTACAAATGTCCATGGTTCAATGCCTACAGTATCAAAATAAGTTACCAAGGAAACACAAGACTGATGAAGTTTAAATATGTATCACACTAACCAAACTCTTGCTTCAGTTTCTTCTTGTGATACACAGTTAAGTAGAAAACTTGATCATGAATTGGGTGAACAACCTACAAAGTTAAATTAGCATAACAATAATCATTAATGACAATTATTTCAATTACAGCATTGGAATGTGTATGTTCTATTTAAGACAAAAGAATAAACCAGAGAAACAGTTAAAGAATTTGATGGAATACAAAGTTCTTGCAACTACATACTGCAGTTTACAAATTAATGAACAGCAAAGTAAACAAGATAGCACAACTATCACCAGCCAGCATGCACTGGCATGAAAATAATGCTCTTAAGCTCTATAATAGTGCTCTTTGTTTTCTTTATCTATTCGTGGACATATCATTTTTTATGTGATTGAGGAGAAAAAGACTGCATATACGAGTTATGTACAAAAATGACAAGATCATGGAGCGAGACATGTTTCTCTTCAGAGAAATATCCAATCCTCACAACTTATTGGAATGTCTCATGTACTCCAAAAGTGTAAACAACATAGTAAACAAGATAGCACAACTATCACCAGCCAGCATGCACTGGCATGAAAATAATGCTCTAAAGCTCTATAACAGTGCTCTTTGTTTTCTTTATCTATTCGTGGACATATCATTTTTTATGTGATTAAGGAGAAAAAGACTGCATATATGAGTTATGTACAAAAATGACAAGATTATGGAGTGAGACATGTTTCTCTTCAGAAAAACATCCAATCCTCACAACTTATTGGAATGTCTCATGTACTCCAAAAGTGTAAACAATATAGAAATAAACCAGAAATATTCACATATGAGCTTCCAATCCCCTAAAACGCTCTTCTTTTTCTACCAATACCAATAAAATATTAACTAAAATTATTTACTTCTAATAATAACACAGGCCAAAGTAGGATTAGTTTAATAGATTGAAGGATATATTCTTTCTTCACACTTATGCATATGCTTCACATTAATGAGGTATGCACCTGGTCCACCGGAGAACCACGCGTGTGCCTAAATTCCTTGTGGTGCTTTTTAAGATATTCCTCGAGCTTGGGAACATCCTGTCTCCTAAAGATATCCCATTCTGCACCACCATTTTCTTCCTCTGAACCGTCAAACTTGTTTCCAGGATCAACCACCTGATCAGAAGATAACCCGCCCTCCAATTGCACATTCCGGTCAGAGGAAAAAAAATCACTTCCTTTTTCTTGTTTTGCAGATGCAAAATCACTATTAAGAATTAGATGATCATCTCTATCGGTACTATAGAGTTCTTCTTGATCACGAGAAGCGTATTGTTCCTTCAACTTATTAATTTTTGAAAGCTGCTGCTTATCAATAGTTACATCAGCGGTATGCGTTAAAATATTCACCTGCAATATCAAGAAAAATAGTAAGTCAATTACAATTAAAATAAGACTGGAAAACTGTGTGAAATTATATTAAAGGGTAAGCTTAAGTTCTTCGCAGTTACAAACAAATACCACCAGGTTTAGGAGAAGGAAATCCCTGCATTGAGTTATCAATGCAAGACTGTGCAGGTCTCCGATTTTGATGGTGAATATAGAGGCCACATTAATGGCTCACTTTTAAGGCAAAAACATTGATCTTTCATCTGGGAAACTTATGTCCAGAAAAGTCTATTGTTTGTGTTACTGCATGTGAAACAATAGTTCTAGTCCTGAGGACCCCTGTATCTATTCCATAAGTAGAAGTTTCTCTGGATTCTATACTTTTCTCCAAGTTCAGTAGTCCTTTGTGTAAATCCAGTATTACCAGTAAATCCAGTGCAAATAATTATGTTCCAGATATAAATTTGAAGCTGATTTTCTTTTTCTTTTCTTTTCTTTTCTTTTCTTTTTTTTTTTTTTTGATTTCAAAATAAAACTTCAAAGTTCATATAAACAGGAAATTTTATATTTTAAAAAACAATTATGCAAGATCAAATCAAAAAGTCCTAGTTGGGGTCAACTATCTATGTTGCTCGGACTCTTCAAAATCAGTATCCCATGGCTGTGTGTATGGGATCCACACCAGTTTTTGTCAACGTACCTTGGGTGCTTTGGCTACATCTATGACCGAGAAGTATAGATCAATTGGGTATTTGGTTTGATTTTTGCCTTATGAGACTGCTTTGCTAATACATGAGATATCTTAAGCATAAAATATTAGGTGTTTATAAAGAACTAAATTTTATTAATTTTAGTTCAGTAACTTAATTAATTGAAATATACACTTTATATGTCGTATTATACATTTATTGGTCGTATCCTAGCACCCGTATCCGCACTCGGATCCATACCCTCTAATCCCAAAATTTATGTGATGAAGAATCAAACCTCTAAACCAGCACCCCAATCGATTAACGGCACCAGAGTCCAAGCAACATAGTCAAATATTATAGTATATACAGCTCGATTCTCAGCAAAGGAAGATGAAATGCAAAATGGGGCTAAGGGGGTGCCAAGGAGTACCCAAACAAATATATATCCTCCACCTTGGAACCTTAAGTTCTCCATTACCCAAAATCACTCTGTATTACTTAAATGATGACACCCTGTTAAATGAATAACTAAATCTTGTTTGCCACCCCCCCCCCCTCACCTGTTTTCACAAGTATTCTGACATAAGATTTTACCAGAATCCAATGACAACAGAGGTCAGGGGTAATTAATGCGCTGGAACCAACTATTCAACTCATAATATTCATACCGCATCAGACATATCACAATGAAGCTTTGTCACAGAATCTCCACGTCCAAGTTCTTCGGCAAATCCATATGCTATATATGTTTTTGGACCCAAATCTGGCTTCAGTATACCATCTGGAAGTTTGGAAGCAACATTAAGAATACCAGAATGCAGATGTGTGTATTCTTTGTATGGCAAGACTCTAATGAATTCTGCTCCATGGCGAGGCAACCGCTTCTCGAATTCTGTAGATGGGGGCCAGTCCTTAAGCTTAAGCATTTCGGGCCAGGAACTTCGTCGGTGCCTTCGACCTTCAACATAACCCTTAAAAAATTGATGAATATTTATATCCACCTGAAAGACATGAAGATAAAGAGAAGCTTATCTCAGCATTGATAAACTGAAGACACTTTAATCAGCTAGATTAGAGCCATGGTGACTCATTCAACCAAGAACCATGAACTCTCTGAACTAACAATATCATATTTCAGGTGAACCTAGTGTAAGCACGTGATTTTTAGCATGAATTCTCTGACGATCTTTTTATAGGTAAACCATGTAGTGGTATAATTTCATGTCTCTCCAACAAACATCTCCCTTCCATTTAACGCATCACTTCCCAATTTGGACTTCCCAAAATGTTAGATACTTTATTTTTGAAATACTGGTAGGCAATAAAAGGCCACTCTGACTGTAGGAAACTGTATTTAAACATTTTATGAGATGCTCTTTCTGCTCATATCATATGAAGCTTTAGCGGTAACAACTATTAATTCATGGATCAGGTCAGCGCATCACACTAGATCACTTCGCATTAAGAAAGGAAAAAATTATAAAGGAGGATTATCTCACCTCAAGTTTCTACACATCAGTTTCAGGCTTGAATTAGATCAGACAACACTCAGGCTATGACATTTGAAAGCTACATAGGATTCTCTAAATATCATTATGTGGCATCAAAATGGAAGTCAAAAGCTAATTGCATCCAAGGAATAAATAATGCAAAACAAATAAACTCATAACACTAATTGATATCACTTATGTGAAAGGAACCTACTGCCAGACGGTAACTGCATATCATAGCAATAACTGATGTTTGAAATATACGAGACTCTTCAAAGACCTGGAAACTAAACTAGGAAAAGGAATACATATTGTAAATGGGTTTCCTCATAGACAACAAAATATCTCTCAAAGAGAAAAAGCCCTCAGACAATATAATGTTGTAATTCCAGAAATTACTTACTCGTTTTGGTTACGTCCTGCTTGAACTCTTAAAAGTATTGTCGAATAGCACAAGAAGCGCAAGTTCTAATAAAAGATTACGAGTTCCAGTAAAACAGGAAATAAAAGAGAAGGGACCATCAAAGATGATGCACCTCACACCAATCAAGACAATCAACTGCCGTCACCATCAAATCTGATGAGCCCTCCTTGATTGCTATATTACGGAATGCACGCCACATGACCATAGGTTCCCAGCTTAATCCAGATGCCAATTCAAGAACATTGCTTACAATGACAGGTTCTCCCATTCTCCAATGTGTCTGGAAGTGTTCCAGGTGCCCTTCCTGGATGTCGCTTGCAGCAGGGCAGAACAAATAATTGTCATCAGAATCTGATCTCGAAGCTGCTTTCCTCCTATTTTTAGAGTTACAGGAACACTGTTCTTTAATAGAGAAGGTCTCATTGGCAGATGAAGTTGCTTTGACTAAGTTTTCAACTTCCATCATTATCTGTTGAACTCGCTTTTCACCAAAGAGACACTTAAGTACTAGGTGGTTATTTCCACAACCACCTCTTTCCTTTGGTGGGCAAGGGATATCACCAGTTTCTGTTGCTCTCCATCCAGGCAGCCTTCCATCTTCATCTGCACAATATGCATTATTGATCAAGCCAAAAGAAGTTTTACAAGGTGAACATGACACGAGATTTTCCCCCTTGCAGGTAAAGTTTTCATCTATTATGAAACTGAACAAATACCACAGTCTCACCTCCTAGAAAATAACCTTCTCGAATTTCCTGACAGCAGGTCAGACATAGATCATAAGAACAAATCGAACAATTTCGATGGAGATCAACAATGGAGGTGCTGCAATTGTTGCTGCCATGAAACATAGCATATTAAGGCAATGCGTAAGACAACGGGAGCAAGGGAGAAATCCTACAAGTCAAAGAAGGAGGCATACCAGTAAACACGCTCATCCTCATAACAGGTAGCTTTTGGTATCGACACCCGTGTCAGTGACAATCCTGCACCGTAGCCACCACTTTAAATAAATAAACAGGTAACTACTTTGTCAAAGTACACAAATTCACCAGGAAATAGCAGCAGAATAGCAACTAAAGACTAGCAGATCGCAGGAAGTTTCCCACCTAGGACAAATGACCAAAATTTCTTTCAGTAATAACATCATGTAAATTTACCCCACCGTTAAGCCCTCAAGGAAAGGGGATTAAAGTTTGTATCAAACTGACTAAGACATATAAGTGGAAGGAAAAAAATGCTTCAAGTGAAGTTGCAGTCTATTGTAGTTAATACAAAGAAAAGTATCTCAGGCATTGCTAAATTACTACACGTCTATACCGCTTTCGAAAGGCTTCCTACTGTTTGGTAATAAATCAGACTTCTTAGAAAGGTGATAAATTTAGTAAAATGAATTCAAGTTACTGCCAAATGAACTTTGCTCTGGCCTATAAGCTTTTTTCAAGCTACCAATGCTTTCACCAATAAGCATAGTAGCAGAAAACTTGTGTACACTAGTCAATCTAAGAAAGATCAAATAATACCTCAGAACAAGGACCTTGTGGACAAATAGCAGCAGAGGAAAGGCAAAAGTCACTAAAAGGGTACAATATCACCAGGAGACTATTTATGCATAGGAAAAAGAATCATATGCATAATACCTTTAATCTTTGCCTCAATCTCCTTTTCAATAGTTTGGTCATGGATAAATGCTTTCAAAAATGGATGAAGTGCATTCGCAAGATACTTCAAGCAATTAATTTGTTCTTTCTTTTCCAGTGGTATTCCTGAATATTTTGGATCCTGTAGTATAAGATCAGATAATGCATCAGCATGCCACAATCACAAGCCCTGAGGTCTACAGCGGAAAGTGGAATGAAGAAATATATAGGAGGAAAAATCTAACCTTAAGGATAACATTTTTGCGTAAACAATCTTTGCAATTGCAGTTCCCACGACAAAATGGGCATTTCACGGCAATTTCTTCCTTTGACAGATGTGGGTACCTACATTTATGGTTTCAAAAGAAATACATTTGCAAATAGATCATCTACCAACAAAATAAACATATGTGTGTATGCATGGTTGCAGTTACATTAGCCAACAGATTCTACAATCAGATGGGCGCTTGTTCATCAATACTTTTGTTATTCAATTACAGTTTCAAACTATAAGAGGCCCCCGATTAGCTTTACCTAAGCGAAATCAGTAAATTCATAATGTAGTCAATTGAAAGGAGATAAAAAAACATTTATAATGTCCACGAAGCATGAATAACCGTTGTTAACAAGTCTGACCCATCTTTCAAGCTACTCAGTAGGAGGTGGATTCATGAACAAGTTACTCCAATATCACCCTGTGGAGAAAAGAGAATTAATTGGCATTCTATTAAGTAGTTCTCCCCAGGCATCCCCACAGTAAACACTAAAATATCCAGCCAGCTAGATCATTCAGCTGAGCAAGATATCGCTATTGTGGATAAACCTCCACTAGATCCAGCCCTGTGATTTAACAAACATCTGAGAGGTGTAACCATGTAAAAGATAATGCGATATTGGCTTAGATTGAACCCTTCATCGCATACCAAAACATTAATGCTGGCATGGATATTATATGGTTATGTTGTCCATAAACAACAGCACTACTTAGAATGAATTACATCAATAACTCAGAATGACACCGACTAAATGACTGCAGAAGGCACAGAACACCAAGAAATGATCTATCTAATCATCCAGAAACACAAATCAAAGTAAAATGTTGTAATTTTCCATGTGTAAGTTATGCATCTGAAAAGGGTGTTATTTTCAAGTAATCTTATTCCATGTAAAATTCGCAACCAAAGGAACACATTTCTCCCGTTCTATCAACCTACAACTATGCTGTTCAGTTGAAATATGAGATGACACCAAAAAGAGCTTAGATAACCTAGAACAATACTCTTTAACTTAAAAGACAGAATTTCAGTAGCCAAGAATAGTGAGAAACTCTCAAAGGTAAAATCAATAAACTATTACCATCTCTCAATACAAGGGCTACAATAGCGTCTGCGACATCTCCTTAGGCACCTAACAACCTTCCGATCGCTTTTCATGCACTGATGGCACATCTGGCAATCATCCAGTGGGTCCTGCTTAGTAAAATGATGTAAGGTTATGATCACAAATTCCAGCCTACAACAGAAAGATTAAATCAGGAGTAGAGCAAACGAACTCACATCAGTACTAAAATGCTTCCTTCTTGGGTCGATCTTCTTGTTTTTACCCTTACTACTTCTTACGCCCTTTGGATCTTCACAGTGATCCTGGTCATCATCATCCTGCTTTTTAGAAGAAACTTCCACTCTTTTCTTCTCTGGTAATTTCCTACTGTTTCTCCTAAGTACAGATGCAGTTTTATCACCTTCTGCAAGAGATTCCAGTGATTTAGCTGAATGCTTCCTCTTTAAATTACAGAAGTTACCATCTTTCTCCTCCTCGGCACTTGGAATATCCTCTCTACTCCCCTTTAACTTCGTTTTCCTTAAATCACATCCAATCCCTTTTTTAACCACTCCACAAACCTTCTCACCTTCAGGTTTATTCTCATTGCTATCCCTCTCAACATCCCCATGTTCTTCTTCCTCTTGTGAAATCCCTTTCATTCTATCCTTTTCTAACGAAGAAGATTCAGTTGTGACACACTTTTCAGCAGATTTGACCAATTTGGAACAACCTTTCTCCTCTGATTCATTGGCGCTGACATTCTTTTCCTCTATACTTCCCGAAAATCCCTCATTAAACAACAGATCTTCCTTCTTTTCACCCTTACCTCCTATTTTTATCTGATCATCTAAACTATCTTTATTTTCAACTTTCACACTACTATCTTTCATCATCCTCTCATTCTCCTCGTAACCTTCTCCATTTCTCCCTATTTTCGTCTCACGTAAAGGAGATTTCTTCGCAGGCTTTACATCCTCTGGTACGTCATTCTCCTCGTAACCTTCTCCGTTTCTCCCTATTTTCGTCTCACGTAAAGGAGATTTCTTCACAGGCTTTACATCCTCTGGTTCTTCACTTAAATCATGCGTCTCACTCTCACCAGAATCACTCGTATCGCTATCCCTTATTAGATTGCGTCTTGCCCGCAGTTTCTTCTGCGGTTTCACTACGGATGACGGCTCCTCTTCTTCTCTCCTTCTCACCCTCTTGATCACTGAAACCCTTTTCTCACGGCGTAAATGTTCTATAAGTGGTTTAAGAAAATGCTTCTGGCACAGGGGTTTACCTTGGATCCTGTAGCCGCTGCACCTCCATTTCTTGCCGTCTGACCTTTCGCAACGGAGATCATCCGGCGGCTTCAACCCTAGCTCAATAATCGTCTCGTCGTTCCACCACTCGTCCTCTTCTTTCCCCGGCCTCATTCCGACTGTTGATCGTAGTGGTTAAGGTTTGGGTTGTGTACCGTTTTGTTGAAAATGAGTTTTTAGAGGGAAAGTGAAAGGGTAGAGAGGAAAGGATTTCACATTTTGTCTTAGTATTAATTTAGTGCTGAGAAAGACACAAGTTTGGGAATTGGGTTTGGGATCAACACAAAAGTTCCTTTTCTATCCCAAAAAATGAAAGTTTATTGAAATACTCATCACTGTCGATACTTGATAAAAATAATAGAGTAGTACTACTTTACTATCACATTTTGTGTGAATGTGTTTATTGAGTATAAAATTTTAAAAATAAATAATGACTTCTGAATAAAAGTCAATTCTATATAAAATATCAAATTTATTCTTTAAAATAAGTAGCATGGAAAATAAGGTTAATAGTTGGCACAAAAGAAATTCTTTCTGAAATAGATAAGAAAAATTGAAAGCATGTCATATAAAATGACACCAATGAGTGATTTTAAAGAAGGTTTTCTTTTCTTTTAAGAAACTAAAAAAATTGCAAGAATAGGTTTCTACTAATATTAACGCTATTGTTCATCAAAAATATTTTATCTATATAATTCAACCATATAATAAAAATTATTTTCAGGAAGATAATGTTATCGAGAAATAAACCAGAGTTAAACTTATACCTATCTGTCAACTCTCAAGAGTTAGAAATTGTTGTCAAATGTTAATAAATAAATAATTAAATAAAGCTAGTAAACATTTTTTTTTCTTCCCGAAAGAAGCTATACTAAACTTTTTTAAGTACTGCCAATTTGTTTGGGACTCTTTATGCCTAAGAAAATAGAAATTTGTTTTGTACGGAAACATGTTACAAAAATTTCTAGAGGAAAAAGGGTCAGATTTTTACTTTTACTATGCGAAAACAATCGTTTATCCTTTGTTGTATTTTTCCTACAAAAATATCCCCCCCCCCCCCCCCC